GTCTCCAATTTTTCAAGAGCTTAAATTGAGATTAGCGTACCTTCCTTTTTCTTAAGTGCCTTTAATTAGCCATTAAGTAAAATTACTTTTATCAAATGTCCACGCGAGATGACTTTGGAAAAAATCAGATCCGTGTAATTGCAGCAATTCCGGGCAATGTCTGCATTTCCACAAGGGGATCGGCTCGAGGGACTTCTCCGGGATGAGATTCTTGACAAGGATGGCCTTACAAATTTACATGCAAATAAATTTAACGGCGCGTCGCGCAAAAATAAACTGATAAGAATAACGGAGGAAATACGAAGACGATAATAAAGTCGGGATGGCGAGTTTGCGGAGGTGGCATGGCGTGTCGCGTGTTGCTGATGTATCACTGTAATTGGCGGTGTACATAATCCCATCCCGGCGGTGTGTCCGAATTAGGAAAACAATTAACGCTGCGGGCGACGAGCGAGCGAGGAGCGAGCGAGAAAGGAGGAAGGACGACGAAAGAAAGAGAAGGAGAGGACAGCACGTCGATGATGTTCCGGCGCTGTTGCCCGCTGGGATCGCATCAATCTCGTGCGTTCCGGACCATTCAAATGATACTATCTCGCGCGACTCGCAGCAATAAACAATGACATGTTCGCGAAGGCAACGGCCGTCGCGCGTCCACTGCCTTGCCCTTCGTCCTTTCGATCTCTACTCTCTTGCTCTCCGCCCCGTCGGTCGCCCCACGGGATTTCTTTCAGATTAACGCGGCAAGCGCGTGATTTATCCCTTTACATTTTTCTTTATCCGGATAAGCACGCTCCTCTTTCTCGCCCCCTTATCTCTCGCGAAGACGAAGGCGTCACGAAGATGACTTCACAAGAAGGACCACAATCGGTAAAGTGAACAATAATTCTCAAACCATATGCTAAGACAATTTTAGAAATCAATTTTTACTTTCGTAGCTACCTATTAAAATTCAAGTTAATATTCTAAAATTCTAAATAATAAAATAGGAAAGTTTATATAAAAAGCAAATTATATTAACAAGCTGGAGGCTGAAGCTTTGTAATATGAAAAAACATGAAATAAAAACTAAAAGAAATCTACGAATACTGATAAGAACGAAAGATATTTTTGATAATTATAATAAGATTACAAAAACATCCGAAGGCACGTCTATAGCGCACAGAAAGACGCTCGCCTGTCGACTTTCTCGCCGAAAGACGAGCAAGTAAAATGTAGGTTGTCGTAAAACACGCGGCGAGGGTGCCGCGATGAGAGGAGCCATGCAGACATTGCAGACATTGCAGACGTGCCGCCGCTCGTCCTCCTCTTCCTCCTCCTCAGCCTCTTCGCGGTATAGAAACGGCCTACAGTAAGGTCAGTCGTAGAGACGCGCGGTGGATGATTTCACCTCTCGGCCGTATTTATTATCCTAATCTCGGTACGGTGTGTGTGCGCGCGCGCCTGTGTGGCCTACATTCACCGCAAATTGCCCGACCGACCGACCGACCAACCGCCCCCGTTTTTCTTCGCATACAGATCGAGCGATCGCGTGCAATCGGCAGTCTCACCTCGCACCGTAACACCGCGGCCGTTTCCTCTTTTTCCTCCCTCTTCCGCTTGACGCGCCGAATACGATACGAGACCGCGGTCGGCGGTCTAATAACAATAATAATGACTGCAACGCGCGCGGCGCGGCGCGGCGGCGCGTGATGGCATGCACCGGTCGGATTACTTCCAAGAGGAATGCGAAGCTGTCTAAAAACCATGTCCCGCGGTGGACGGGCAGTTTGTTTAACCTTCGATCTCGTCGTGCTCCAATCCTCGAGAATCTTCGTGTTCTTGCGCATTACCCTTGCAATAAAATGTCTGGTGACGCGCAGGAAATCTCCAAACCTCGTCATGCATGCGAGTTGCATTGAGGTAACAGATACGTTCAAAATTTTTTTCGGATTTGCGAAATTAGCGGACTTTACTTCCAGGAATCAATTATATGGAACAGGGATAGCCGAAATTCTGCAAGATTATATTTCTGAGTAAATTTTAAATACAGAGATGACTTCAGTGACTTCACCGATTATTTTGAAAGTTAATATATTTTATGTATTTCGAGTAGAAACAGAAGAGTAGAATCTGCGCTCTTGTCCGCTTTTTCATATACTCGTATTCGAAAACAAAGATTCATTGCTTTATTGTATTTCATGTTTTTTTTTTTAGAATTTGTGAAGCAATGAGTCTTTGATTTAAAATTTACATTTATCACGCATTATCACATGTTTTATTAATATTTAGATAGAAACAAAGAATCATTACTTTATAATCCCTATAGTACATAATATACTATGCTTTATTAATGTTTATGCAAAAAATAAAGGATCATTGCTCTATAAATCATATAGAGAATAATTTCTCTGCCACATAAAGAACGAAGTGATGCGAAGAATTTATGAATTTATAGACGACAATCGGAATTACCACTAGCAAAGTGATGGTCGGCCGTAATTAACGGCCCGTAATTAACGCTCCGAGCTCCGGTACTAACCGACTAATGACACGATTTTCACCCACGCACTCATGCCGTGGTATCGCGATATCGCGGGCGTAATTACTTACGTCCGCGCGCCCGACATTAGCGCGCAATGTTCCATTGTTGTCACCGCGGCGAGCTGCTCGAGAAATGATCGCCTACCGCAATCTAGCGAACGCCTTCTCGCGTTTTTCGTCGGTGATCGCCACCCTCGCGGAATTCACCGCCGGTCTACCGCGATTATTTCCGGTACACCGTGAAAGATCACCGTGCAGTACACTCCTCTGTCTTTGCTCGCTTACATGTCATATCTCGTTGAATTTACTGTTATGTGTAACGTTACATTAAATGAGTCACCATCGTCTGCTGAATGGCGCTAATCAAGAATTGAATCTTGGTTCCGTGCAGGGTCTAATGTATGTTCTGCAAGATCTAACCATTGAATCTAATTCAAAGTATTCGTTATGGTCTGAAATAAACAGTTTAGCAGCTAAAGGAATAATATACAAAATATACAACATAATTGAGCGGAATATTACATAAAGAAATTGAGAGAAATTATTAAAGTCCTGCATGTAAAGGAGAAAATTGTAAATGTTGTAAGAGTTAATAATAAAAAATAAAAATGTCAATATTTAATAGCGTTTATAAGAAAGCACAATATTGGTAGGCAATTGTATAATAAGATATCAATATTTTAGATTTATGCAAATAAATTTCTAAGTGAAAATTAAAATTTATAATGCAGTTAGTCTATATTTATTGGATATTGAGACACATACATATATGTAAGACGTATATATGTGTTCATAAATAAATAACATGAAACACATAAATATCACACTGCTATAAAAGCGTCTGATGTCAAAGTGCAATGGCGCGTATGATCGCGAGAGGGTTAAATAACAACGAGATCACAGGTCACGGACGGATATCACGGCGCGATCGCGTCCCGCTTCTTTTACTTTCGTCAGGCACGAGCGAACGGCTCGAAAACCGCGAGCGAAGGTCACTGAGCTATTAAAACCAGTTCCCTCTTGGCAGAGCGGCGCGGGCGGCGTGGCAATTATTGCGCCGCGTGGCGCGGGGTTGCCCCGGTCGGCGCGCATCGCGTCAACCCTTCTCGCGCGAATTTTACAGCCCGCGGGACGAAATGGAAGTGCCACTTGCTCGTTTGAGCCACCGATTAACCACCGCCGCCGCCGACGACGTAACGCCACAGCGGTTAGACAAGCGCCGCTGCTGCCCCGACAACGTATACGTTGCCGAGATATACATATATAATATATGTCGTCGGCATATTTCCAAGTAGGATTCGGAGAAGCGACTTTGGCCTGGCCCGGGGTCTTACGGTCATTCGCGCGAAATTAAACTGCCTGCACCCTCAAAGCCACCGAAGAAAGCCCCCGCGCTGCGCGATCTTAGACCTCGTTTGCGTCTCACTTCTTTTTTTCTTGCTGCACGCAACAAAAATCCTCCGATTCGACTCCTCGTGCCCGAGGATACATCGGCGGGCGTAAATTTTTTCGTTTTGCAAAAGGTCACCGTAGATCAGTTCTTGTATTTGTCTTCATGAGATCTTGCTCTCACGTTAGAGATTTCTCGAGACGCGAAGCTACATTTTCAGTGAGGGTCATTTAAAAATATTTTAAAAAACCGGGAAACATTTACAATTTTTATTCTGTTTTTTTTCTGTTTAAAAAATGCATAGCAACATCTTTCTTAGAGAGACAGAAATTCAACTCGTCGCGCATAGTAAGTACCTCCCTTAAGAACCATGAAGGTTCAATAAATCCATGCAAAAATTCACTACGTGTTTCACGATTCACGATAAATGTACGCGAGAGTCACTATCCCATGTTCTCCGGAATGCAATAGTAACGTCATAGTTACGTCTTCTTTGAGAGACGCAGAAATTCGAATCGTCATAAGAGTATACCCCCCGGAGCACATCTTCTCGTATACTTAGTCGACTCGAGTTATGAAATGCGCGGTAGTAGCGGTGATATCTAGGAAGAGTTGGCCGCGCCGAGGAAACGACGTTGCGCCGGGACATAATAATAAAGAAATGGTTGCGGGGTGAGTTACGAGACAGGATAAGTGATATGGTAATGAGGTAGTACCTTAAACGAGCTAAACTGCAGCCCGAGTAAAGTGAAGTGAAGTGAAGCTCGGTGCCGCGGCCGTAAGCGGAAAAAGCGCGCGCGGACGGCGCTCTATCTCTAATAATACACGGCGAATAAAACGCAGGGGGGAATCAAAGTATCAGTGAAAGCCGATCGGTCGTTCATCCGTTCGATTCCGAGGGAACGGCAGAAGGGAAGGGGACGGCGGGAGTGAAGAGTGAAGTATCCGGACAATATCGAGTATACGCCGTTGGGCCCATTGTTTTCGAGGGCGACGGCGTGTCCGTGTAATGGCGGAAGTGAAAAACTCGAGCCTTCGAAAGTGTGCCGATCGTCATTCGAACGGCGAAACGCCTTATCTCGCCGAGGGATTATCGCGAGAGGTATCCCGCTGCGTGATTTTTCGTTCCGTCGAGGACGATGAAGGCGATCGGACGAGGCGATCGGTCGAGAGGCGAGTGACGCGAATTGCATTCATATATCGGTGCCGGAAACGTTGAATTTGTTCCGACCGAGTGGTTCTCGCTGCTTCTACTTAAACGGCGAGTTCTCGCGCAAAGGAATGGAGGATCGATCGTTTTACTCACCGGATCGTGGAACATATGGCTCTCGGCGGTCGGTTGCACGAAGACGTATACCGATAAATGGAATCCTGAAACGTAAATGAGAAAAACATTTTTAATCGCGATTATTTCTAGAACCGAGAGTAATAACCATTAACTTTAAAGTTAAAGTTAACTTTGAAAAATTGAAAACCGAGTTTTTCTTAATTGAAAAGGCTTAAGATCAATGAGATCTTGTAGAAGACTTATTTTATCGATAATTTCCAAGTTATGTTATTAAAAATGGTACATTTTTACCGAATTACACGTTACCCTCGTGTCATATATAGACGTATAGAGAGTTAAATGGCAAATCCAATTTCAATCCTACTTGACGTATCAATTCATAGAGTGAGTTTACAATTAGAATCGGTCACGTTTATCTCCAGCGTGAAGTGATTATCGACCGGTCGGTCCCGCGGTCGAGCGAACACGAGTGAATTTTCGTCTTTTTGACAGCCGCTAAACTGATCTTGACTGTAAGCCGTAATCTACAATGTTGGATTCTCCGGCGCGCCCGTTGTTAAATCCATTCGCCACGGACGTGTAAAACGACGACAAGGCCGATAACTCCGAGAAGCTTCGTCCTTTCGGTCGGACAGCTGTAAAATTGACGTTGGAATAGGCGCAAATATATCTTGCCAGTTCCGATTGCCATAATGACGCACGTGATATATCACGACATATCGCGACGGAGCGTACAGAAATATCAATACATATATGGAAAGATCAAGATCACGTCCCAGGAAACGGCCGTACGATTTCCGACGTACGATAATATCGTTCTTAATGAATGATATAAATGACTCAATGGGCACAATACACATGGAAACAATACCTCTTAATCGATTTCTCTCGAGATATATCATTTATCGGTTAAATCTGTTGCCACTATATCACGATTTTATTTATTAAAATAAATACAAATCACTCTTTGTTAGTTTCAAGTTCGGGAGAAATTTTATCAAAATTTTCGTGAGAGATAAACCTCTGACATCTTTTTCGGTGCTCGAAAGAGAGTTGAGAGATATATATCTTGGATTAAGAATGTCTGTGACGAGAGAAGAAGAACGCGGGGCGCGCGAGAGATATTCGGAAAACGCCAAGTAAATCGATGCAAAGTAACGTAACGTGGACACGAGCATTTCGTGCCAGGCCGGGATCCTGATTAATGCGATTCGTGACGCGTCCGCGCACCGTATAAACTCGATCCTGATTAATACTGTTTACAGCCCCGCGAGATACCAAGAGCCATTAATCAGGATCGAGTGACGACCTCTCTTAAGCTACTCCTTCGTCCTCGACCAGACGGTATTCGCGCACTAATGTTAATCTTGCTGCTTATACGCACTACTTTTCAGCTCGGTTATTTTCGTCGCATATTACAGAATTTGTCCCTTTGTCGAAAATATAATTTTGTATAAATGTCTATCCCCCCGGATTAACAGGAAGATAAAAAAATATTTAATTGAAGACACGCGATCTCCAGGACTAGGCAGTGCATTTTGTTTAATCCTTAAAATATACGATGCAAAATTAACTTTATTAATTAATTTGTAAGCTCTTAAAAATCAGTATTGCATTTTATCGCACTTTATGGAAAAGATAAATTATCATCGAATTTTTCAAATAATATTTCAATTTAAAAGTATAATAGTGTAATTAACGTTAACGCTTCATACGAATTTCATGATGACATCTCCAAAAAAGGATTTCAAAACGTAACGTCTGACACACAAAAGACTTGCCACGTTTACTATGAAGATTCAGTACGAGCTGCGGATCTAACGTTAAATAATGTAAACGTGATTGTAGTAACGATTTGGAACCCGATCCTTGCTCAGCGGATGATATCGATGCACTTGGCTCACAGGCTCGATCTCGAAAACCATTAATCAGGATCGAGCTCGACGACCTCTTCCCAACGCTACTCCCGGTGTGCATCGGCGTTGACCTTGGATCTATAAGCTCGAGAGCGCGAATCCAAGCGCATCGGCGCGAGCAGGTGCAGGCAGGAAACGGCCGGGTGACAAACGAGGAATATCGTATCGGCGGAAAACCGATATTATCGATATTAAATATACTTGAGCGCGGCGATCCCCTCGGGCCTCGCGGCGATCCTGCTCCTTTAGCGGATTTTTCTCCCGCGGCAGTCGCGGCGAGGACGACTCACGATCCGCGTAAATCAGCATTTACTCGCGGGCTCCTTATCGCAGCCCCGCGACAGATGGTTTCCGCCGTAATTATGACAAAGCGCGGATAATGAGCATATTTTACGTACGACGATTATATTCGAAGGCGCGGATAAATTACGGTGCGCGAGTCGCGAACTCTAAGTTATTTCGGTAAATAAATTATTATTCCCGTATGCACCCGCGCGTACCCAGAGCCATACACGCACATATATACACACGCCTGAGTCATATATGTTGTATGCAGAGTGTGTTCCAGGTTTTCTTTCGCTTCCTTCAATTTCGCCCGTCTTTATTCGATAAAAGCGCACAAGAACAAGCGGCTTCATGGAGATAGATCGTTGATAATATCGGTTGTTTCCAACGTCGGGAGTACCGTAATGAACGTGTCAAGTTGGAATCGAGGTGTGAAACTGAAATTCTTCCGCCGTGTCCAATCGTCTACGGGCCGTCACTCGCGGGTCTATGAGTTATTGCATTCCTTTTTTTTTTTGGCGCGCGCGAGCGAAAGTGCAATGCAATGTCGAAAGAATCCGTCGGCCGTTGCTGCGCAATGATAGGTGCTCGGCACCGAGAGAGGCCGACTTTCGGTGCTTTATTATACCCCGCCTGGGAAACAACATATACGCCGGATACGTCGCGTTACAAATTACGTTGTTCGCGCGAACCATCGATCTTCGGCTGCGAGCGCGTTTTGCTCGTTTCTTGAATTTCGTAGATTGAAATGTAAATTAGATCCCGCCGTCCGACCGAGAGAGTGTCAGGGATTAGTCGAACGTAGCGCAACACGTCCGAGAGGCTTTTAAGCGTTTCGATTTTGCGAACAAAGTGGAGAAAAATTAATCGAATCGGCAATTTGCAAAATCAATGTTTTTTCGAAATGTTATTACCGCACGGTACCTTGTTGCAAATTGCAAAATTTGAACTTTAAAAAGAAATGACGAAGAATATTTTGCACAATTTATTGTTATAGCACAGCTGTAGTTCATCGGTTTCCAATATTGATAATCTTTAATAAACAAATTGGTATAATATTAATATTATTAATAACAATTATAATTACCATATATTCCAGCCGAGCGTCGTACATGATAGCGTTCGTGAACGAACAAACGGCACACGTGAGTGCGTACGAAATGCAATTTCTATACACAGGCGCGGATTTAAATATAGTCGTCACTCAGAATTCGAGGGACGGTCGGAAGTTCTTTTACGCGGCGGGATAGGCGAGGGAGACGAAGGAGAGGCGGCAGGAAAGAGAGGGCACTTCATGAAGTGCATCTAAGAGAGCAGCGCGCGCGCGGATTCCGTGAGGCTCGAGAGCTAAGTCGAGAGCGAAATTAATAGCCCACTTGTCATAACAGCCAACGATAGGAGCGAGCGTGGCAGTCCGAGAGAGAGAACCGGACTCGCGGTGATCTTAACGGCGGATATAACGTCCAGCCGCGAGCAATTCGCCGTGACGAATTTCCTACGTCAGCTCTCTGCTCTCTAGAGGCTCCCTCGGTCCGAGTGACGTATGCAAATCGCGCGCGTCTAGGAAAGCTTCTTTTCGCCGGATATTTGTGTTCACCGTTGGGTAAAAGGTCAAGTCGGATGCGTAGCTAAAAAGTTTCTCAAAGTCCGACACATTCAATTGCGAGCAGCAAGAGCAATGGGAATACATCCTTATTTGGAAAATATACTAGCAAGTATAATTTTCTCTCGGTATCCCTTGAGGAGCGTCCCCGTTAAGACTCGGCTCGTTTCAAAGTTCTTTGATTTTTCGTTATTAACGGCGACGCGAAGAACTGTACTCCATCGGTCCTCAAAAGGGATATGAGGAAAGAAGGATCGGGTCGGGTACGGTATAATCCGTGCGGTGTCCGCATCAGCTATGCAATATTACGCGGTAACAACGTTAGCGCGGTAACGGCGCCTCCTATTACCGTGCTCTTTTACGCAAAGTGGCAGTCGAGCCGAGCCGAGCCGAGGCGGCGAAACAAAAGTGGAAAGCGGGACGGATTTTAAGAGCGGCCTCGGCCACTTCAGTAAGTACCGGCGCGATTTTCCGAGATGAACGTAGGCACCAGCGCGCGCGAAATTATGCAAAATTGTCGACGCGCTAATAAAACGCCGCCGTAAAATAACTCATTGCTGACGTAACGCGGCCAATTCGTCAAGCAGCAGCAGCGGCGGCGGCAACGGCCGACGTTGCGCGCCTCTCTCTAACGCGTGAGACGCTACCTTCCTTCTTAACGCCGGCGTCGTTACGAGATCACCTGTTATCCGACCGATAATATATCTCCTCGATAATATTTCACTGACAATCCCCGGCTATTGAGCGAACGATCACTTCGTTCGCCGCGTATCCACGTCTTACGTTTCGATATTCATATCGTTACTTAACACCGCGGAACACCGCGAATTGACGCGCGACATGTGGTAGACAGGTATACTCGAAGGATTAATATACGCAATACACAGGGCCCCGCGAGGGGGTCCCCCCCGCGCGCAGAAAATCACATCGACGTACCGACACCGCGCTCCGCCTCCGAGACGCTCTCAGCGAGAGAGAACGATCGAGGAGTATCTTAAATCCACGGCGCACCCGGATACCCGCACGATCGTAAAAATGCCGGCGTGGCGACGGCGCGGCCCGCCGTGGAAGACGCACGTGGTTCCGGGTGATACCGACGCCCTCGATAAACAGCAAACGCGGGCGCTGAAATTTAAAGCACTGCCGCGCCGCCGGCACCGGCGGCGCGCGTAAAAGCGCGTATATACATATATGAACGTATTCTTCGGCGGTCGCGCGATTTCAATTTCACCTGGGAGAGGACACGGCGCGACGTCACCGTTACGTTTCGCATCGTATG